TAAAACTACTGTGATCTGAAATTTGATGTAGTCCCTCTGTTGTGTAGATACCTCCAGTTTAGTTGGGAACCGCGCGCTGAAGTCCGTTCCAAATCAAAATAGGAGGCATGTGCTCTTCAGTGCCTCTTAATCAAAACACCGTAGGTTTATAACCATTCCACCATGACGGCAACGGTGAAGACGGCGCTCTATAGGTACGCTTAATAAACAACACATCTAGGTACAAAGGTCTGCTATAGTGGAACGTTCTTAAAAGGGGTGACGGATAGATATAAATGTAAAAATGATCACTACAGCTTTAAATATTTATAGTCTTTACTACTCTTTGTTCCTGGAATGAAGTTCACAAATAACTTCCAAAGAGCCACACGCTGTGTGTTCAGGAAGTAGGAGAAAAGAAAACTCTTTTTAACCTATCAGAATCCAGCATTCTAATATTCATTGAAATATTGATAACAGGGTACCGGCTGTTGCTGTAACTGCAGCTGAGGATTTAATACCCTGGTGCACTGGACTAAACAATACGATAAAACCCCTTGTACTTGTATTTCTACAACTGCCTCTATAGACTGTTACTCTACTAAACGATGCGACCATTTGTTATTTATTTTAGTTCGTCTTATTCGGGGGTACATTACCTGCAGTTATAGTTATCTGCCATTTAAAATATTTGAGTTCCAATGGTTATTAAATAGTACGCGTCAAAACAGTAAATATTATTGCTATCAATAGCAACTTGACATAATAATGTTAAAGATAGACACATTTTATGGATAACAACTTCTTATATTTCGTGAGTGTGACGGTTCGGTACAGATTCTCGTGAATTCTTGCTTGACAGCGGAACGAGAATCTGTACCAAAAATGTGCACCCAAAACTAAAGTAGTTGTTATCCATAGTTTGTCTATATTATACTTCCCAACTTCTAAAATGCCACTCAAAGAAGATATCTGGGTATGATTGGCATTGATCACAGACTAGTCACGTGTTAATAACAGCGCATTCATTTGACCAATATGGATTTGCATAAAATAATTCTTTATTTTAACCCCAACTATTTTTCTTTTGAGATGAGAAACTCATAAAACGTACGGATGGCCCAACATAGGGATAAATGTGCTGCTACCTTGTTGACACTAGTTATGCTGCTCTCTGAAATTCAAATATACTAGACCACCTCCGTGATGTAGTGGTTAGAGCGTCTGTCCGGTGAGCGGAAGGTCGAGGGTTCGATCCCCGACCTCGTCATACCAAAAGACGTTAAAATATGGTACTTGTTGGTCCCTGCCTGGCGCTCGGCATTAATGGGGACAACAAGGACTGGTCTGCTCAGAGTCAGTATAATGTGTCTGAGTGGGGTATTCATGCTTCACTGCGGCATGGTATCTCAGTGGACTAGCACTATAAAACCAGCTTAAGTCTGGGCTAGTACAAGCAGCCGCACATACACATACACACACATGCACGTCGTAATATAAGCGAAATATTCTCAAGCACGACGTTAAACCCAATTGCACCTCGCCACCTCAAATATACTAAGCAGCAAAAGAAACGTCAGTTTGGAATTTTCCTTCGCAGAAACGTAAACTCATTTAATGTTTTGATTGTATATTTTTGACAACATCTCCAACTTTACCTTAGCAAAGGCATTCCTTCCCAAACTCAGAACTGAACCCAGGAAATGGTCTCAAAAGCGCAACCTGACCTCGGAGATGGTACGGTGTTCTCCAACTTTACCTTAGCAAAGACATTCCTTCCCAAACTCAGAATTGAACCCAGGAAATGGTCTCAAAAGCGCAACCTGACCTCGGAGATGGTACGGTGTTCTCCAACTTTACCTTAGCAAAGACATTCCTTCCCAAACTCAGAATTGAACCCAGGAAATGGTCTCAAAAGCGCAACCTGACCTCGGAGATGATACGGTGTTCTCCATGTTTTTCATGCAAATCATGCTGCACGTGCTGTTCACAAGGAACAAACCTATGAAATGCTCCCCCAAACCTTGTTGAAACATTCACATTCAAACGTCAGCAGGATGCCGCAACTCACGATAGCTCAGAGGAATCAGGCGCTAAGAAGACTTTAAGGACCACACTGCACAAGCCATTGCCAATCACTTCCAGGTCAACGCTCGGACCATCTACAGGCAGCAGCAACGTTTCCGGGCCACCAACATTACAAATGATCGACCCCATACTGGAAGACCAAGGGTGACCACAAGACGACAAGACCGCCATGTTGTGCGACAGCATGTACAGAATCCCTTCATGCAGGCATCCGAAGCAGCCCGCCAGACAGTGGGAACACACAGAAGACCAATCAGTACTGATACAGTACGCCGACGTCTTAACAGCGGGAACCTCCATTGCCATAGACCTTACCGTGGGCCTATCTTCACCTCTCGTCATCGGCGTGAACGTTACAGTTTGCCCTACAACACAAAAACTGGCGATACAGACAATGGAGACGTGTTCTGTTCACAGATGGGAGTCGGTACTGCGTATCAACTGCAGATGGCAGAACAAGATTATGGCGACGACATGGCCAGTGTTACTCAGACGAACCAGAGAGTGGGTCCTGTGGTGTTCCAGAACCTTGGTCCAGGGAGAGGAGGCGACATCACAGCGGTGCGCTACATCGGTCAAGCTCTTAGACCCAACGTCATACCACATTTCGCACGTCACCGGAACATTTTCCAGCATGATGACGCCCGGGCCCATACTGCCAGAGGAACACGGGAATGCCTACAGCAGAACGGTGTCAACATTATGCAGTGGCAAGCCCTTAGGCCTGATTTAAACCTAATTGAACATCTCTGGGATGAAATTCAGAGGAGACTGAATAATGTCATACCTAGGCCGAACACAGCCCATTTATTACGCCAGGCTTTTCTAAGAGTGTGGATCCAGGTGCCAAATGGCCTTCAGCAATCGTTTGGTGCACTCCATACATAGACGCTGTACTGCAGTTATTGCCGCTCGTGGTGGTCACACTAGATACTGAAGTCAATAGTCTCAATGAACTGCAAACGGTAACGTAATATCTTGAAATTGTGCTTGAGTTAGTCATTGATGTGTCAAGATATTGTACACAGAAAAACATTTTGATCCGCTTATTATGTCAATTTCTGTAGTGATTTGATTACGGTGCCCATCTGATTTTTTTTGCTGCTCAGTATAGTACCGAGCAAGTTTTATGTTCCAATCTATAGTGACATGACATGACATGCATGTGCGCGAACGTACTTCCACGGTCCCATAGATGACTCAAATATGCAAATTTGTTTGTGAACGATTCACTTCAGTGAAAGAGATAAGGCTCATATAAAGAGTATACAAAATATTAAAAAACCGGTGTCACAATCAAACCCTGAAGCAGCTTTGCTAACAAATAAGCATCTCAAATTGAGTGGGAAACAAAACATTAACAATATACTAGCACAAGCATCACAGCAGGGGAAACCAGACATAGGCGTCAAACATTGTAACTAGTGGAGAACTGAAATCTGCATGAGGGGTACTTTTACTCCACGACTATCCCTCCGCCCAAATTAGGATAATAAACTAGCTGAATTCTCATAGTAAATATATGGAATTTTTGAAATAATGGAAAGGCATTCTTTGGGGTCGTATACGGACGGAGATACAAATATGAATGGTCTAACAAGGTCTTCTTTCAGTGAATGCTAACAAACATGGCATCGCTCTTGTAGATCAGCGATAGTCAGATTAACATTAGGGAATATTGAAAAACTGCCATAATTGTTATAATTATAAAAAAAACCATAATAGTGTACGAAACTGAAAATCAGTGTCCAGCTATATATTACCGAAATATGTCCGAATTGTTACCTTGTTATATTTTGTAGCTGTTTTCATATCAGTCTGCACTTGCTAGCGTTAGGTCAGGCTGGCAGACGTCACTTAGATATGGCATTCGTGACCAACTCGTGTTATTCCGGGACAAGCAGAATAGCGACTCATGCCCCTCTGGGAGGATTTCATATTGGCGTAGGAACACCAGAACTACTTCAAACAGAAACGATAACACTATTCCTGTTTGATTCCAATAGTACTTAATATCACCGAAGTACTCATACATTGTATTGCTGGTTTTGTTTTTGCTTATTTATTTTAAAGAATTAAACATCCTTGACACAACTAAAAGAAGGAGAAAAACATATTTGTTATTGACATATTCTGACGTAATTATTACCAGATGTTCACCTTATATTTCCAGTTATATTTCTGAAAAGAGTTTAATAATCACAAATTGGATTTGTTTTATTGAATATGCAATTAAAATTCATCATAAAATCCCAGCTACATTGAATCCAAAAATCAGAAACTCAATAATGACTTTAAAATATTGCTCAAGCTGAACATTCGTGTAACCTTGCTGTCATACCCCATGTGAAATTTTAAATGAATTCGCTGAAAAATATATGAATGACCAAAAAAGTCAGACTAAAATATTCTAACAGATGTGAAATATATGCCCAATATAAGTTACGTACAGATATTGTTATGAAACTCGTGGCGATGTATAATTACTTTTCCTAAAACTGTTGGAAGCGCACGTATAATCATTACAACAAGCCCGGAAGATCATCAGAAATACACCCAGTTGGACCACTGATAGCCGTTATGTCAACAAACGCACGTTCGTGTATTTGAATCTCTCACCGTCAATCGCATGATTCTTATCGAAAGGTTCACATTAGACAGCAAAATTCTGTTAGCTACGTTCTCAGTACTTTTAATATGACGATATATATTTTTCATGATTTTTTAAACAATAACATAATCCAATAAACGATTTAAGTAGTCGGGATTATTTTTATCAAAACATCGCAACCATAACGCGCGTTCTGATTGGTTTGTCGTATTTTCGCACACAACCAGCATCGAGAGAAGTCTTCTTGGAGGTTACGGAAAGGGGCGAGTGGTGACGAATGTTCCCGGCGATGAACCCCTCAGCCCACCCGTCAACCAATGGCGTGTCAGCCAGTTCAGTGTATGGCGTTATATAGTAATGTAGGATATTATGGGTATTTCCACTTCTTCCTGGTAGCCATATTGTGTTGTTGTGGCTATGACATTTTGGTGGTTACGTCTTCGTTCGCAGCCGCTAATGTGAGATTATGTAACCAACTTTACCAGTAAAAGGTGAGAATTTATTGATGTCAACTTTATAATGAGGAACACGACGTTCTGGAGTTTCTTACTCCTTCATCATAGGGATCCTAGACGAAGGTATCACTTCTGATATTATAAACATGTTTCATGTTAAAAATAGTATCAAAATATACATGCATTGCGTTAAGGATGGCTTCAAAAGGTGTTGGGAATTAACTGTTAGTTTAACAAAGGGCGGTAACTCATGTATCTGCCTGTTACACTTGGCTTATTCACTCACCTGAAAGAAAGACAAAACCAGATCCAAGTTTCAAAATAATGCAAACTGTGTTTTCTTGAGACATATTGTCACCTCGATAGACAGTGAGAATTAGCTGGTAGAATGTTAAAGTACTGTTTGAGGGATAATAGCAAAACACTAACTCTGCCCAAACAAGTCCATGGTCCACCACTGCATGGAGCTGAGGGTCGTCTGCTTCACAAATATGTGATATTTCTTTAAAACTATTAATAAATGACCTGGTGTTCATTACACACATTGACCGCAGAAGAATAGTATTTCGAGTTATATCCCCTTACCTTCTTGACAACTTATGTTATTTCAGTCATTCCTTATCCACCTCAAATGAATGGAATATGAACTCATTGTTTGCAACAAATAATGTAGGGGTCTCAATCATACTTTCTCAACAAAGTAAAAAGGCGTATTTTGTGTAACATTTTTAGAATGTGGACTGAGTCAAAAAAGAAACTTCACAAAATGTAATTTGCAAAATAATAGTTTTTATCTGATGATACATCTATGTATCCGAAATGGGATCCCTACCTTTCGACTCTAGAAAAACGTTAGCAAAACCCACTCAAACCCATCCATTCGTCGTGCAAATGACGTTAGTGCCAAATCAGGTTTTGCACGTGCAGTCGATCACGTGATCTTCGCATCGAAGTTTTCTTCATATGCACGTGTTTGCATTGGCCTCAAGAATTGAAAAAAACACTTTTAAACCACAGTTCTAACGGTACTTGAAAAGCCACAAGTGTCAAATGTGCAACGTGAATGTGCCGTTGGCACGTTGCAAGTGGGAAGATCAGTTATTGACGTCGCAAGAGCAATGGGATGCAGCCGTCATACTGTGTATGACTTGAGAGGTCGTCTACAACAAACTGGCACCACTTCTGATCGCCCAAGGTCGGGTCGTCCACGTGTGACGTCACGAGCAGAAGACCGTCAAATTTTCCTACGTCACCTACGTGACAGATTTCTGCCGGCTACACGAACGAGGGCTGAGATGTTTAGAGGTCGACTGTCCTCACAGACCATTCGAAATAGGTTGCGGGCTGCCAATGTCCATTCTCGACGTCCATATCGTGGGCCAATATTGACGCCATTTCATCAATGTCAACGTCTGCTGTGGGCCCAACGTCACCTCCGATGGACCCAGAGAGACTGGAATCGAGTCGATGAGGAGGCGGTGTTTGGCAGTGGTGAATGCGCGGGGCGGCCATACACGATATTGAACTGAGAAATTTCGCATTTTTATTCTTGTGACTTGACATTCTGTATACCCATGTTTTGGAACGGTTGTGTAGCCCAATTGAACTGATTACGGCACTGTCAGTGTATCGAGTACATCACACAGATCTCAGCAATGAAATAATAACAATTTAACCATCTTACCATCTCTTGTTCTTTTATAGTGCCCTGAAGAAAGAATGTGAATTTCTTTTTGACTCAGTATATGTTGGGTGTGTTAGCTGATGCAGGCTGAACTCTTTTCCGCCATGACCATTCGAAGCGAAGCGTTTGATCGTTTTCAGGTCAAGTTTTGTCGTTTTGTTGACGTTTTGCAGTCGGCAATTAAAGTCTGTCACTAGATGTGTGAACATCACACTTTTAAACCTGCAGTGTATTTCTATCGCATTACACCGATTAGGCTGCATTCATGTTATTCAGTACGGCCGGGAGCTGATGCGGTGCGCGAAATGTGACAGTATTGTTTTGCAATGTGTGAATTTCGTCGTGAATTTTATATGATATTTTTGTATGGTAGTGCATGTGTACTTTAATATTACATTACTCATGCATGACTTTATTCAGCCATTGTACATAAGTATTATTTGTTAAATTTGTAAAAATATAAATAAATGCATACACATAGCTACATGGAATGATTGTGGGGTTAAATTCAAATTTATGTCATCAAAGACATATTTGATTTTAAACTCATTTTTTATGTTAGTTCCTAAAAAACACACATAACGCTAAAGTTTTCTTCACGAACTTTTGAATGAAAATCAGAATATAATAGGTAAATAGTATATTGTCTGCAATTTGAAATATATATCAACATAATGTTATCAAAACAAGAAGATACATATGTCATGTAATTCTATCAAACACATCCTCTTGGGTGGTCAGATTGATCTGTTAATGTTGAGGCAAATATCTGTAAATGACTACTTATGTTTTGAGGTTAAATGGTGTTAAACGTCTGTAAGAAATACATCAATAAATTAACATATATAATGACTCACAGCACTGACTGATGGACACATTTTATAAGGGCTAAATCTTTTATTTCAAACTATGATGACTGGTATTTATGCTGCAACCGAATAATTGGATAATAGGTGTATGATACATTAAGTTCGCATTAGAAACATAGTGTCAGAATTTAAAAACAAAAACTTTTTTCTAGAAGAGGCATACATTCGTTCAGACTTTGCTAGAGTTTTGCTTAAGTTTTACAATCTTTAAGCAAGTGCCTTTGGACGTTCTTTGAAAAGTACACATATTAAACGAGCATATTTTGTAAACATGTAAGCACCAAAGGATGGACCTGTTGAAATATTGCTCCACATCACGGGTGACTATTTGAAAGTTGATAACATCCTCATGTAATGTTTCCTTGCCCTGAAGGAGGGAAGGCTTCTGGCTACTTTGACAGAGAGAGCACTCTTTGGGTTTCCATAAACTTTGAGTGCGTTAAAGTAAACGGAGACTGAACTAATCTTAATGTGTTTTAACATATGTCAAACTCTGTAGCGTATGCGAGTGAGTTGAATTTAAGCCAGCTTTGTCGCAATGTTGACACTTTCTATTCAATTATCTGGCATTGAGCGACGTTCTCATTTAGCTCTTGGTTGAATGATCATACACTTCCCTTGTTAATCTTATGAAAGTCTTTAGCAGCCGCACGCTGGCGTAAGTGAGCGATTTTCTCCCTTTCGTGAACAGTTCTACTCCACACGGCTTGGTAGCCTAGTGGCTAAAGCGTTCGCTCGTTACGCCGAAGACCCGAGTTCCATTGACCACATGATTACAACGTGTGAAGCCAATTGCTGGAATATTGCTAAAGGAAATGTAAAACCATATTCACTCATTCACACTCTCGAATACAATTATATTACTGTGTATATTACAAGAATATTGCTGAGTGCGGCGTAAAACAAAACTCACTCACTCACTGTCTCTTCTTCTTCTTTCTTGTGGGTAATCCTGATTATAAAGGATTGATGATAATTGATGATTCCGCCATTATTGAACGATATAACAACAAAGGGGGAACCAGAGGGGAGTGTAGGGGTCCCTTGTACAGAACCATTCTAAGCATTATAAAAGATAATTTGTCATAAAATAGTATCACAACAGTAAACTACCATTAAAATTATATATCATCCATAGCAGCTTTTGGCAAATAAAAAAACCCCAGACATTAGCATCGGTAAACATAAAACAAAACTTCTCGATTTCAGGCATATTAAAAAAAACACATCTAGTTTTAACAATGCACTCAATTTTAATTGGAGCCACACCACACATAAACCTGGCAAGAGCCAACCTGTAACCTCTTGGCAGGTTCCTTAAAACATTGACTTCTGTTCTATGATCTTGTTTAAAACTCTTTTAAGCTCTTAGTTTGTTATGACCACTTTGCCCCTGTACCTTATCTAACTTTCCAATTTATAACAAAGTCATTCATTCACACATTTTGTACATAGTCACACACAAACGATTTAGCAATTTTATTTGTAACATTTAACAGATATCCTAAACCAATATCATGAAACTTCTTTCGTATCCTTCTATTCCAACTTTTAGATCTATTCATAGCAAACCTTTCAGCCCAATGAAAAACGTACTGATTTTGCTAACAGCGGCGTAAAACTAAACTCACTCACTCATTCAGAAAGTGAATTCAACCTTTGCCCAGATGCTGCACTAAAATAATAAAGACGTTGAAGTTTAACCCAGACTTCATGGTTGATAATACACACTGAAACATGAATCAATTTTGCTCTGTTCTTGTCACTCAAAACGGCAAGAAAGTGCTTTAGCAGTATTTTGTATTGAGTGATGCATTAGCAGACACTCATGCCAGTGAGAAATCCTGAGAGTTTCAAAGGCGGTCCACTGGTCCAGACATGATCACAGGCAGACATAGGTTCATCAAATACAAGGAGTTCCCGCTCCAATGATACAACAATGTATGCTTCGCAATGTTTATCGTATACAGCAATGTATGCTTCACAATGTTCATCGTATGAGTGAATCGCATCCGACCTGAAGCAAAAGCCACAATCATAAAAAGTTAGCCTTTTTAACAGGACACAAAATTCAAATGAAACAAGTAATACATCACTTTTCAAAAAACATATTTGATGTTTATAGTTTTTACCACTTGTATAGAACAAACTTCTGAGACAAACACTACCAAATATATTCTAAACGGAACAAAAGAACTAGTAGAGAAGCCATTAGATTTCATTTCCAGTCGATCAAAGCTTACTTTTTATTATGTGGCTATGGTATCAGCTGCTAATGAGTGATGTAAAGCAATGTATGGTATCCGCTACCATTCTGCACCTACTGTTTGTTAAACATTCAAAGTTAGCACCATTTTTGGCACTGAATTTGTGTGACACGTTGCGTAGCTGGAAGACAAATAGTTGCGTGGGTGACGGTGTGATATGTTCCTGTAAGCCGATTTCATTGGTGTTTATATAAAGTACAGTTTGCAGCTCTATTT